AATACACATTTCATTAAAGGATAAAAGACTCTTCTACCCTTCTTCTCTATATATTATATGAAATAAATATTTAAATAAATAAAAACACAAAACATCAATACTAAACTCTAAACCCTAAAACATCAATTCTAAACTCTAAACCTTAAAATATTAACCCTAAAACATCAATTCTAAATCCTAAACCCTAAAATCAACCCTAAACCCTCAAATAACAATTCTAAACCCTAAATTCTAAATTCTAAACCCTTAACCCTAATAAATCAACACTAAACCCTAAAATATCAATTCTAAACCCTAAACTCTAAATCCTAAACTCTAAATTTGAAACCCTAAACCCTAAATCATATACCCTAAACCCTAATCAAAATCCTAAACCCTAAATTATAAACCCTAAACTCGAAATCCTAAACCCTAAATTATAAACCCTAAACCCTAAATTCTAAACCCTAGACCCTAAATTCTTAACCCTAAATCCTAAATTCTTAACCTTAAACCCTAAATTCTAAACTTTAAACCCTAATCCATCAAAACCTTATTAAAATTGTTAAGTTTAATTAGTTAATGGTATAATAGTATTTTGCCTATTAAAATTTTAATGGTAAAATTGGTTAGTGTAAAGTTGAAAAATGGATCTTGAAATTGTTATTTCTGACAATTTCCTTTAGATATAGTGATTTACAAATTCCTAGAATTTTAAGTCTTGTGTTATTGATTTACAGATTCTCACATTCTTATTAAAATTGAGTGTTATTGGTCAAATGATTCCATAATTCTATACAAATTTATTTGTTATTCAAAAAGTTTATATTTTAATGATTCTGTAAATCTATTAAAATAATTGTTATTGGAAGTTGAATTTTTAGCATTACAATTCACAAAAACAAGATTTTGAAAATACTACAAAATTCGTTGAAAATACTACAAAAACAAAATTTGAAAAGATCATGGAATATAAAAAGTACAGTATAAAAAAGTTATTTGGAATACATTAAGATATTGAAAGGAATTTTCCATAGTTTAGAACTCATTCATATACTCAAATGCAGAGTTTAAGGGTGAATAGTCTTGCAAATAATACCACAAAACAATCGTCGTTTGTTTTGTTGTCTATATAGATGGAGAGTTACCGGTTTGATTTACAAAGTCTTAAGTTACTAACAAAAACCAAAAAAATCTAAAAGTGACCAGGAGCTAGATTCTTTAACTGGAATGGTATTCCCATGATTTTTTTCTCAGTTGATTTGTTGGATCCAAGATAGAAATATATCAAACAGAGTATGATCTCGGAAATGGAGAACCTCGTTTCCAATATCAATCAGAGATTTGATCAAGAAAACGACATGCTTCGACCATTAACATCACATGCAAAAGAACATGACCTATTTTGTCCACCAACTCAGAAATCAGAACTCAATTAACAGTAAAGATGGACGTTCGGATACCCATTCGGGTTCGGTTTTGATCTATTTGGGTTTCGGGTTTTTTGGTTCACAAATTTTAGCTCTATTCGGATATTTTTAAATTGCAATTCGGATTCAGTTCGGATCTTTGCGGGTTTGGTTCAGGTTCGGATAACCCACTCACATTATTTTTTTAAATTTTAAAATTAATTATATACTTTAAATTTCTAAAAATCTATAAACAAAATAATATATTATAAATAATTGAACAACATAAGTCAAAATACCTAAAATTAACATATAAATTAGTTTGATTTGAATATTTGGATTGTGAATCAATAATTTTTTAAGTATTTTTGATGTTTTAAGCGTATGTTAGCAATTTTATACATGTATGTTTGACTATTTACATATATTTACAAGTATTTTGAACAATTTCAATGTAATTTTTATATATTGAATGTTTTTTATATACATTAAATCTAAAATAATTAATATATACATGTAAATCTCTTTCGAATATTTTCGGGACCCGAAATATTTCGGTTCGGGTCGGGTTCTGTTTCGATTCTTTAAATACCAAAATTTTGAACCCAGGATATTGAATCAATTTCGGTTCTGGTTTGAACTAATTTTTTGGATCGGGTTCGGTTCGGTTCTTCGAATCCGGGTTTTTTGTCCAGTCCTAATTAATAGTATGATTTAGCAATTGTCTCAAATAAACAAATTGCTCCAATTAGAAGGAACAAATTACAATATGAAAAAATTATAGGGGTTTTGCAGAAATGAATAAAGTTCTTGGTCAAACGCGAAAGTAACTTATCTTTTGTTTTAACTAAAGTTTTATTTGTCCTATTCATCCTAGATTTTTTTTTTTCAAATTTTATTTCGGATTCTAATTAAACCTTTGGTTATAAATTATGTAGACTTCTATAGATCTTTTCTATCAAAAACAAATTAATTTTGCAATTGACCAAAATTTTACTGAAATTTGAGAATTTTTTTTGTTATTATCGAGAGTTTTTCTAATACAAAAGTAAACTAATATTTATAAAAAAGATTTCTCGAGAAGTCTGATAGTAGAGTGGACTTCTTCAAGAAGACAACCTTTTTTTATTAAATTTTCAGTAAAATTTGTATTTTCTTCAAATTTAAAAAAAAAATTAAAAGATTTTCTTGTTATTTCATATTATATAATGAAATTTAAAACTTAATAATTTATAGTTATGAGGTAAGCAATATTTATGTTTTTACTTTCTAGCTAATGAGAACAGACTTTTTGAGAAGTCTGTTGTTAGTAAACTTGATTTTTCTTCATGTGCATCTATCAATATTGTTTTACTTTTGTTGGTAGGGAATAGTTCAGTTACATTACATGTTTATATTGTTTATGTACAAGAGAATAAAGTCAAAAATATGTTGACTAAATTTGTGGTGTATGATTTCTAAACTTATGGAATGCTTGATCTTATATGATGTTACTTCGTGGTTTTGATTCAATACAGTACATTATTTGTAGTTAAATTCTATCTTATTAATTCGCTTATGAGGTTCAGCAATTAGAGGGTGGGTGAGAATTTTTTTCACTTTTGATTTTGATGTCTAATGATATCTCTTCTTTTCTCTTTTATCTCTCCCTTAGTTTGTATTATCTCGAATATTCGTACGTATCAGTGTTATAAAAAAAAAAAACTCGCTTATCTTAACGAAATAGCAGGTACAATATGGCTTCAATAATCATTAAGGTTTGGTTCAGCTTAACTAGAGTTAAGTAAATTTGTGTTCAGAATCAAACAAAATGAAAAGGAAACAAATCAGTCGAATACTATCAACTTTGTCAAGTAAATTTACGGAAAAGTATGTTTATGTGTAGAAAACTAAGCAAATATTTCTTAAGTAATTTGTGGTAAACAAATATGAGAAAACTAATATTTTGTCATAATTAAGTAAATCTATCTTATCAAAAGAGAATACCATCTGAAATAAACATTTAGTTAATTTCTTATTGATGAAATATGCTATTGGATTTTTGTTTTCTTATTAACACTAACAATGTCAAATTAATTTAATCAATTAAATAATTAAAATAATTAATACACAATATTTTAAAAATTTTAATTTTTTGTTATCATAAATCTTATAAATATATTTTAAAAATTTATTTCAAAACATATAATTAAATTCATAAATATGTTTCTATATATTCTATAAGTATAGTTAAACTATTAAACTAATAATAAATAAAATAGCTTACTAATTAATTCAAATCTTTCTTATGAATAATCAAATATAAATTAAATTAATAAAATCTATTTTTAATTTTAGAAAACTGAAATCCTATTAAAAAAATAAAAGAAGTTTCATATGAAAATAAGATATTGCAAAGAGTAAATTTTATAGTCAATAAATTGATTTTTTTTTTTTTTGATAAAAGGCTTTATCAATAAATTGATATTATATCAATATTGCATATTACATGATTTTTACAATAAAATTATCTACACTAATGCATATGAACCATGGGGATCTAATTTTAATACAACGTTTTATATATGTTGCATACTTTGATCCAAAGAGAAACAGCTTCAGAAAATCGAATTTGCTGACGAAGAATTCAAGGTCAGAATTGGAATCGGAGACTTACTTTGTTGTCTGCAATATAGTCTTTTCTTATCTTTCTAGTGTGTAATGTGCTGCTTTTTTTTGTCACAATGTGCTGGTTTTCTCATAATTTTATCTTTCTTACGATTTTATTCCTGGCTTGTTGGTCACCATACTGTTCTTGCAGTTTAAGATATCAATCTCATCATATGTTTTGTAGTTGTCATTGAATCAAAAGGATCATATCCATCAACGAACATTGTCTTACACTGATTCACAAGTGAAAGTATCATCATATCTGAACAGTGTAATGTTATTTTAACATCTTACGGTCGAAATGATGGAGCTCGATAGTCCAGTTAGACCTTCCCAGTCCTAAGGAGGATCTGTTGTAGAAGAAGCTTCATGTAGATTCAACATAATCTCCTTTTTTTAACTCCAGTAATATTCCCAGACAAGTATGAGCCAAATAAGTGGTTCTAAAAAAAAAGGTGGTTCTAACAAATTAAGCACATTGTGAACACTACAATAGCTTATGAACTAATAGCTTCTTAATTTGTTTGAGAACATATTCTTTTCCTATAAGAGATAGCTTCATCCTCAGATGAACTGTCTTAATCCATCATGTGAAAAAAATGAAATGAAGTTATGAACTGCACAAGAGAAGATTCTGCACAGTTCAGTTATCGATGCTATCTAAATATATTTGCTTGATTATTCTTTTGTTAAGTCTTAACTGTAATCATAACTTTTCTTTCTTCTGATTCATTGATGTAAAATCTTTACTATGTACTATTGACAAGTGAATTTATAGAAATTAGAATTCATATTGAAAGTTAAAACACTTTTGAAATGGGTTTCCTTTTGTATCATAATCATAGCAGGGAATCAAAAGTGGAATAGAGATTATGCAATGATTATTCAGACCATTTTTTATTACAGTGTTGCTATATACACTACTTTACTATGGTCTGCAACGTGAGAGCTTAAGAGTGTGTCTCATTTCTTTTCCGGAAGCTTCTCCAGCAACTCTGGTATCACCTCAAAAAGATCTCCAACAAGTCCATAATCAGCTACCTAACAAATTTCATTGCCAATCGTTTTATCTCATACTTTGGTCCTAACTTAACTTCACGTGGAGAAGAATGGTTTGATACCTGGAACATAGGTGCATCTGCGTCTTTATTAACTAACCGCCACAATCACCTTAGAATCCTTAATTCCAGCAAAGTGTTGAATAGCTCCTGAAACACCAGACGCCATGTATACCTCTGGTGCTACTATTTTCCCTGTTTGTCGTACCTGAACACACACACACACACATACATAAAACTCTTATTAGAAATGGAAGAAGATCCAAAAAAATATTACCTAAAGGTCATTAGGAACATATCCAGCATCAACAACAGCATGAGTAGCACCAACTGTGCAAACAAACAGAAAACCAATTAGCACAAAAATAAAACTCTTATTAGAAATGGAAGAAGATCCAAAAAATATTACCTAAAGGTCATTAGGAACATATCCAGCATCAACAATAGCATGAGTAGCACCAACTGTGCAAACAAACAGAAACCCAATTAGCACAAAAGGCAACTTCTGATTAGGAAAAGCATATACATACATACTAAACTGCTCCACCAAGTTTCTCTGCAAGCTTTTCAATCATTTTAAAATTCTCAACACTCTTTAGCAGCCCTTCCACAAGTAATCACAACACGTGCACTTCCAAGATCAGGCCGTTCTGTATCCTGAGTTGATTGGCCCACGTATCTGGATCTACTCACGGGTTCTGCAATGGACAATAGTCATACTCACTTTCTTGAAAAATAACAAGAAAATACTAAACCAACCGTTTTTTGAAGTTTGAGAGATCAATCTGAGAGATAGTAGCTTTCTTTGACTCAGCAGAGTCTGCAGTTACTGGGGTAACAGGAGAAGAAGTAGTTCTAATAGTCAACACACAAGGACCAGCACCAGTATAACGAACTCTACAGAAAGTGTTTCCCGCATATATAGGCCTTTAAACTCAGTTTCACATGTCCAGCAAGCTTAGCAATAAAATAAACAAGACCTGTCTTGAGCAAAACCGGATGAAACATTTGGCTCAAACCCTCAAATTCTTTGAAGAAGATTTTACATAGACATAGGTTCCCAAATTAGTAAAAAAGGAAAAATAATAATTATTGAAATCCTTACTAAATCACCTACAACCTCCAAAATCTCAGGACCGGCCTAGCTACATGTTAGGAGTGTACCTGATAAATTCATTGGATCCTAAGATTTTGACAGCATCAGTAACAGGAGAGACATCTAAAAGAGCGGCAACGCGAGGCAGTATGTTCTTGCCAAACGAGTTTAAAGAAGCAAGGATGTGAGAGAAATCTTTTGTTGCCAAACAAAGTCAACCAGTTTAGCCCAAGGTTCAGCTAAAGGGTACTCAAATGTATCTGAATCAGCAACAAGTATTTATAAAAAAAAAGTACAAACATTTGACAAGAAGAGAAGAAAACATATGAAGAATGAAGTAGTTACCTCAGGAAACAGAAGGATGACAAGAGGCAGTTTGAGAAGCAGCTTTCTTGGAGAGAAGAGCCAGAACCAGCTAACAACAAAGAAACTGAAGAGCTCTCACCCAATTGGTTTGCTGCAACTACTGTACTCACTGTCTGAGGTTTGGTGGAACCACTCTCATGTTCCGAGTGCTAATCTAATTGAATCAAGATTGTACAAAAACCAAATATAGTTCAGTACTTTTTCTTATTTCCATGTCTGAATCAAATTGAAATAACTACACAGACTAATAAAGTTTAACTCCTTTTTAAAGAACGATAAGTTGTAATTGATTATAGCTACAGATCCAATTCTTGAAAGACAAGAAAAAAGAAGGGTTGAGGAGTAAGAGGCATACGCATCGAGAGAGGTTGGTGATGGATCGATAAATGTTGGAGGAGACGAGCTTCTTCTTCCAATAAAAAGGCAAAAAAGAAAGGTAATTTATATTACCTTATATCAGCTACCAACTCAGACAGCATGATTGTCTAGGATAGCGAATCCCGACCACAGATCTTCACTTCAAGGAAGATCCGGGGACAGAGGCCGCAGAGTTTGATCAGAACTCCCCCTCTGTAACCACCTCCCGCGAATTTAGTCGCGCCAGAGGGAGAAGCGAAACTTACTTTCTTTCTCTCGGGTCTGTACCAATATTTTGCTCGAACCCTGGTGGGACTCTCTCTTCATGCCAAGTCTCTACCATGTATACTGGGTTCGAATTGGTGTTCTACATCTTAATTTAATTTTACTTAACTTAAAATAAACCGGGTTCTCAATCCTGCACCGGTTCGCTAAGTAAAATTTCACAAATAAAATTATTACTCTAGTGATCAATAGAGTTCTATGTCACATGCAAGGTTGCATGTGACATAGAGCTTTGCATGAGTTTTTTTTTAATTTGGTGACATGTTTGATTTATTGTAATGGACGGAAAAGGTATCCTCTTTAGAACTTTATGCGGTAATACCAAAGACGTGCTTCACAATTAGAGATGTTAACTTGGGTAATTACCCATGAGTGTATCCAAGTCCACAAATATTGAATTATGTTTTTACTTTTTCAATAAATAAATAGGCTTAACATGGGTTTTTAGTACCCTTAAATAATTAAAAAAAATTACATTATATGGGTAGCCCACAAACCTAAAAAAAACTAAATTACGTCGTCTCTCTCAGGATAACGCCGTTTCTCTCTCAGCTCGATCTCT